GACAGTCTATTAGGCGTCCCCTACTACCAAGCGGGGGACAAGCACCCTGTCCTTATCCATTGAGAGTGGAAGGAGATGGTGTCCCTGTGCATTGTGCAGGTGGGGATTCACTCCCAGCCCCTCCAGTTGCCAGCCTTGTGTGACTCAGGCCCAGTGGCAGCTGACCGGGAGTGGGGGGGATGTGCCACCGATCGATCCGGAGGCCAAGCCCCTAGATTGCTTCCCTGGAGGGCCAGCTGGGGAGGCTGAGGAAGCTCACTTCCTGTTGTGGGAAGTGGAGCAGATGTTTCTCCATCTCCCACCACAGTTGTTAGTTTCCTGGTTAAGTCACATTAAGTTGGCCTTGGAAATGCAAATGAAGTGCCTTTCAGGTTTCAGTCACACCATTCTGGTACTGAGCAGATCACCTAAAAGTACATTAAAAACAATAAAACCTAGTGCTGGTGATGCTGAGTAAATAGATGACACTGCAGACATGGTTGTAAAGGGATTTATCTTTCCTGGAAAGCAAAATGACTCTAAAATGACACATGCTGTCTTTGCTTCAGGTTTAAAACAACTCAAAAGGGAGAGGAAACATTATAAGAAAGGCACAGCATTGCTATTGAGTCTAGGAATAATAATAAGGGACAGTTTGTGGGGTGGTCCCTTGAGTTTCAGTTTCTGGAATGATAAGAATGTGTACTGCACCCCGCCCTCGATTGAGACCAACTGTCAGAACTGGTGCTGAGTGACATCTTGCTTAATCACCATATTACAGCTTATATTAAGGATCTCTGGTGTAGGTCAGGGACGAGCCCCTGGGGAAAGTGGACGGGTAACTGTTTTACAGGACAATATGGCCAGGTCCAGTGGAGGGGAGATTCTGAGGCTACATCCAAGTATGTTTTGAGGGAATTGGAATTTGCCAGGTGGACAGAGAATAATGGGAAGGGCATTCCTGGCAGAGGGGACCGCCTGGGCACATGTACAGTGGCATTAAGGAACCAGATGGGTTCAGAAAGCAGGCAGGGGGAACGAGGCTCTGCCGGAGCCGGACTGCAGACCACGCAAACCCAACAGGTGTTCCTACTGTGCTTAGGCCTGCTGGGGAAGGCTGGGGTCACAGAACTGGTTCCCATATTGGCTCTGCTGCCTCGAGGGAGCACAACAGAAACCTGGCTCCGAATTTGGCAGGGGGAGGGGCGGGCACCTTGGGCCCTGGGAGTGGGGAGTGATTAGGAAGGCCTCAGGGAGGAGACCCATAAAGAGCTCTGTGTTGTTCCCCTGGGTTCTTGCACTGTGCACACACTTCCCAAGCTGGGACCAATGACAAGGCAGCTTGGGACAGAATCAAGCTGGAGCTGAGGTTCACTCCTGGCCCTGGCAGGCTAGGGCTGCAGAGTAGGCCTTGGGCTCAGCAGATCTGGGTTGAAGTCCCAGATCCCACCTTGGCAGTAGAGGGACCCCAGGCACCGAGTCTCTGAGCCTTGGTTTCCGTATCCATCAAGAGGGCCTGTGACCAGGTGCACCAGGGCTCATCCCATTCCAAGAAGAACAGGCGCACACTTGTGCCCTCGGGGCATCTGTGAGCACACAAAGGGCAGCCTGTCCCCCTGTTGCATACATGACCAGCCAGAGGGTGCCAGCACCTGCTGATCTCAATGATCAGAAGGATCAAGGAGGGGCTGGTGGGAGCCCAGGGATTCTGGGCAGTTCAGGCAGGTGAAGCTGGTGCTCCCTGGAGTGATGGGCAAGTGCCATTTCCTCCCCAGCCCTGCAACCTCCATCGCCAGGCAGAGATGGCGTGCTCCAGGGTCCCGGGAGCCACCCACCCTGTGTCCTCCCCTGAAGGTGGTGCCCCATGGACTGACACCATTTACACCATTTACCCTTCACAGAACCTTTGATCTGCATTGCATGGGACCATTTGCAAATCTCTAAGAATCAGTGTCTACGGCCCAGATTACAGAGCCAGACAATCCTGGGCTGGAATCCCGACTCCAGGGCCGCCTCTCCTGCCCACCACTCCCTTCGCTGCAGCCATCCCATCAAGCTCGTGCCCACCTCAGGACCTTTACACGTGCTCTTTCTTTTCTCCAGGATGTCCTTCCTCCCTTCTGGCCTGGTTTCACTCAGGTTCCACTCAGATACTCAGGCAGGCCTGGGCTGACCACCTCATTTACATGTCTGGGGTTCAGGGACTTGTGTGGGTTGGACAGATGGTAGACTTCTGTGATAGTCAGAGGTGGGCTCTCTGCAGGTTCATGGATTAATTCACAGCATGAATAGGCCAGAGGTGTTAAAGCCTGTTCCTCCTTGGCCTTCAGAGGGAACTTGGAGGTAGAGCCAGGAGGGGGTTCAGGTTTCCTGTTGGATCTTTTGAACTGTACCTTTACAAGCCAACTTCCTGTTGGAGCTTGATAGAATCTGGGCAGGAGAGGAGGAGGGGAAAAGGAGGGCTCAGCCTTGGGGAGGGGCTTCACAAGCCTGGAAGATGGAGGATTCAGAGAGCATCTGGACCCACTGAGGCCTAGAACTGGGCCATCCCCCTTTCCCTCAGTTCCGAGAGTGTATAGAGACCAAAAGTGCTTCTCAGTGGCCATGGGCAGCCCAGAGCTCAGCTCCCCAGCAGCAGATGGTCCACAGTTTGGGCACCCTGGGTGTGCCTTTTGAGACTTAACTGTCCCACTCCTAGGGAACTGGGACTTAACTGTCCTGCTGACCTGGGGTGAGACAAAAGAGGTACTCCCTTTAATGGGACACGTAGGTGCTCCACTTGCCTCACCCTAGTCTAGCCCTGTTAATTCCCCAGAAAAAAAATTGTTACGGAGCCTAGACTTGAATATTGCAAGGGTCAGACACTACTTGACTTTCCAGTTCTAGAGATTCCAGTTGGTGCAGAGGAAACCTCTGTTGAGGCCTTATTGGGTGGTGGGTGCTTTGCACACTTTGCTTTCCCAGAATCCTCATCCCTGGAGATTTGAAGAGTGGAGACTGGGCCTAGAGACTCAGAGAAGGGGAGTGACTTGCCTCAGGACACACAGCAAGTAGGGGCTGAAGGAAGAGCAGGCCCTGGCATATGGCTCCAGATCCCTGGATTGGCTACATCTTTAGGGGGAAGCTATGGGACCGGATCTCAAGTTTCCATCCTACTCTTAACTCTGGCCATCAGCATCTGCAGAAATGGGCCAGCAAATCTGGCTCCAGGGAAGAATGAGGTGGGATCTAACCAGGCCACAAGTTCCAGGGGATGGCTGTACCTTTACAAGCCACCAGGTGCCTGAGGGAACCCAGACTCTGCCCTGATCCTGTAGCTTAGCTGAAGCTGTGCCCTTGGCTTGAAGACCAGCCCTTTGTGCCAGGGTCGCATTCTTCCTCTTGGGAGCCTTCCCTGATTCCTGTGCCTCAGGGGGTCAGTGAGCAACTGTCCTCTCCCTCCTTCCTCCTCAGTCCAGATAGGATGGGGGGACAGAGCAGGGAGGTGGCAGAAATAAGAAAGAAAAAAGGTGGAGAGGACGGGACTCTGGTGGCTCTAGTCCTCTGTCTCGGGTGAGTTTCAGATGGGCATCTACCTGCGGGTCCTGCCACATTCTAGGATTTGAAACTGGGGAACAAAGTCATGAAGAGACGGAGCCTGGGTAGTCTACTTTGGGGAGACTCCTGCCTGGAACCCAGCCCCCTGTGTCCTGCTGTGCCGGGACTCTTCTAGACTTGTTCACCTGAGCTCAGGGCCTTTTCTAAAAGCAATGCTTTGTTTTTGTTGGAGGGTGGGGGGTTGGCAGTGGAGCATGTGAGCACCCACAGGCTGACCAGAGAGGGAGGTAGAGGTGCCAGAAAAGACTTTTGTTGTCCTTGGAACCCGAGGCCATGAAGGAAGAACCTGGGAAAGTGGTGGGGGCAAGGTGTATGTGAAAGAAACATGGCTGCATTTTCCATTTTCTCCTGAAGAGAGATCAGGGGCCCCAAGAGACCCCAGCACCCCAACTGCTGAGACACTGGGCTGACCTGCCCAGGATTCCGCCCTCACACGTTGCAGCAGAATGGGGACTATCCTTGCAATTTGAGGCTGTCGGCTGCTAGCCAAGCTCTGGTCATTTGTCTGAGTGGTGTTGAACTTTTACCTTTGACAGAAGGGGAGACAGGCTTAGGTACCACCCTGCTACAAACCCTCAGAGCCTGTCACCACTGCCTTTCTCACAAAGGGTCTCAGGGACTGGGTCCTGGTCTCCTAGGCCTATATGATGGTGAGTCAGTCAGTTTTGATAACTACTGGGATCTGAGACCCACAAGTTTGTGGTGTGCAGACATCACTGACTGCAGAGGGACGTCTGAGCTGGGAGTCAGTAGACGCTGGATTGTCAAATTTGGGGCAGGCGGTTCCCTTGCTTATTCTAAGCTGCAGTTTTCCCTAGGTGATCTGGATTGGGGTCGTTAGACCCTTCCTTGAGGTGAGGGTTAGCCCCACACTGGGGCTGCCCCTGAAGGGAGAGGTCCCTGTATCCACTGTGGGCAACATCTGGGAGCCCTTGGCCTTAATTCTCTGTCTTACTTTTGCCCTTCAAACCGGGAGATAAGCTTGTCCCATTTCCCGGGGTAGTAAACTGAGGCTTGAGCGGTCCAGGCTCGCTCTGGGTGAGCTAGCAATTTGTAACCACAGAGCTCGGGGCGTTGCATCCCTGCCGGGTCCTCCCTTGCCCGACCCCCAGCTCCGCGGCACTTCTCGGAAGTGATAATGGGAGGAGCGGGGAGCTGGCGAGGGGGATGACCGCTAGTAACCCCGGCGGACGCTGGCGCCGAGCGGGTTAAAGGCGGACGCCCGCGAGTAACCTCGGCCCCATTCAGCGCCGTGGGGAGAAACCCGAGCCCAGCCGCCGTCGGGGTGGGGCGGGGCCCTAGTGAGGCGGCGGCACTGCTGCTGATTGGTCGCGCGCGCTCACCCCATGCCCGGCCCGCGGCCCCGAGGAGGGCGGGGCTGGAGGCGGGGCCTCTTTGAGGGGCGGGGCCTGAGGGGCGGTCGGGGCGGGGCTCTCTGAGGCGCTCAGCCGGCTTTAAAACTCCGCCGAGCCTTGACAGGTGAAGTCGTCGCGGGGACGACGCGGTCAGAGCCAACCGCCTGGACGCCCCGAGGGGGCGGGGGGCGCGCGCTACGGAGCCATGGATTGCACGTTCGAAGGTATTTGTTGGAAGACCTCCGCTTCCTTTATCACATTGCCTCTGGCCTCCGCTGCCGGTCACCGTCGCGGGTTCTCACAGAGGGGGCGTGGAGGCCCCTTCCTCAGGGAGAGGGCGCACCAGTTCCCGGCTCACCCGGGGAAGTTGGTAGACCATCCTCCAACCCCGTGAGTCCCCTCTGCAGCCCGAGGAGTGGGTTTGCTTAGAGACGCAACAGCAGAACGGTTACACTAGTGGGGTTTAAGTGGCTTTTCCCACATCTCCTCTGGGCAGAGTCAGGAAGAGGCAAGGGGTAGGGCCAGTTGTCTTGTCTGCCAGGCAGTCCCACTATAAAAGCAAATGCTGTCTGTCCAGACTTCTTCCTCCTCGTACAGACTTGTTGGGTCGCCCTGCTTCTTGCGAGGAGTAGAAAGTGGGAGTCCTAGACTGTCTACATTGTCGATTTCTATTTGGGGAGACTGTTTCCCCATCTATAAAGAGGGTCTCACCTGAAGGGCTAAGGAGGGGGAGTCCTGCAATGAGAAATACAGTATGACTTTATGATCTGCATAAATCTGAAGGGCCCACAAAGTGTTTCTTTTTGAGGGTCCAGGGAAGCTGAGTCTGCCATGCCCTCTTTCTCTGTTGATGGCCTTAGACAGGTCCCCTCTTGGAGTGATGTTCTTGCCTTGGCATCTGTGGGTAGGCAATGTTGTCTCCACTCTGCTGAGCAAAGCTTCAGGTAGTGCTGCCAAAAAGGGTTTAATCCTTTCTGTTGTACAGATGAGGAAACTGAGATGCAGTGAGAGGAGGGGAGTAGCCCAAGCCCTAACCAAGTGGTAGGCAGGTGGTCAGCAGAGCTGATAGGCAGGGATGAAGCTCAGGGTAGGGGACTTGAGAATACTGTAGGACCCTGTGATTGTGCTTATGGATCCCAAAGAACCCTTTGATCCAGTATGTGGCCTCCCTGAGTGGGTTAGAGGGCCCTGGGCTGAGCCAGTAAGGCTGCTAGTCGCCAGCTTGGGAAGAGGGCCCTTGGCCAGGTTGGGACTGAGGCAGGGAGTATGTCCCAGTCTGTACGAGGAGGAAGAAGTCTGGACAGACAGCATTTGCTTTTATAGAGGGGAAACCAAAGCCCTGAATGGCCAGACCTGGGTCCCGAGGCCACTTGGCTGCAGCAGGGCCTGGGTTTGTGCCCAGAACACACAAAGACACACTGGTTGGCTATGTGGCCAGCAGCTGGCTCAGGCCCAAGTCTCTGTCAGTTCAGTGGAGGAATGGGTTAGTGATAACAGCTTCCTTCTTTGGTGTAGCAGGGAAAGGTGCAGAGGTTTGGCATTTTGTGAACCTGGGTTTGAATCCCCTGCATGCTCTTGGAATGCTTGTGGCCCTTATTGAACTCGGTGTCATTTTTTGCTTCCAAGATAGGTGGGCTAAACTTCTGAGTAGGGGTAGAGGCCTTGGGGTCAGGTTGGTCTGGATTTAGTTTTGTTAGACTAGTAACTCTACTGTTCAGTTTCTTCATCTTTAGAAGGGAGCACCACATTCTGTGCAGTACTTTCTTGCAGCTGAATGTCAGGGGGATTATGAGTGCAGTTTAGCCCCATCAATGTGGGTGGTCCCAGTGTGGACCTGGATCTTGATTCAGGCCTACCCTTCTGGCCATTTCTGGACTCTTCTTAGCATGGGCGAGAACCCTGCTCTGACCTGGGCTTCTCTTGGAGGTCTGCCCTCTTGATTGGCCCTCTCTGGAGATCCTAGGCTGTCCCAGGAGGAGTAGGCCATGACTGCACAGCTGGGTCTGGGCACAGGCCATCTCGCCACCTCCTCAGGGGCTCCTTTCTCAGCACCTATATATTCCCCATGCAAATTGAGAAGATGGGTGTCATCACTTAACCCTCAATAGTCTCAAATTCTGTGTCTAGAGGACCCTGCTGGGCAGCTTTGAGGAAAGAGTCCAGAAATGGCCAGTAGGTGGGAATGGGGCCCACTGCACCTATATGAAGACCCTCTCTATCCTGTACCCACTTGCCTTCTACCTCTGAGTCCTATGGCCAGGTACCTTCCAAGAAGTGGATCTGCTAGGACTCTTCACCAAGCTAGGTCCTGGAGTGTGTGGTAATGGAGGACTGCCTGGAAGGACAGGAGAGGCTGTCTGGAAAGGCTTGTCACCTGCTAGGCAATCACTTGGTGCCACTTCAAATCACATTGTAGATGTGCAAGAATGTAGGGATTCAGAGGTGGCTGTTCCACGGAGATAGGAATGAAAGTTTACCGCGGTCTACATCAACCTATAGGAGCTTGGGGGTGTAGCAGTTCTTAGCCTGTGCCAGGTCCAGGGTTCAGTTCCCAGCACTAAGCCAAATAACACAAACAAGACCCCCTCTAAAATACAGGCCATCCCTGGCTCCCCAGAAAGTTGTTTGGTTCTGGGCAAGTTTTTTTTTTTTTTTTTCCCCAGATGGGGTCTGGCTGTGTTGCCCAGATTGGCATCAAAATTCCTGGGCTCATGGGATCCTCTTGCCTCAACATTCCAAATAACTGGGATTACGGGCATGTGCCACCACACTTGGCTTAGGCAGGGATTTTTGTCTTGTTCACAGTGCCTGTCATGGGGTAGGCACTGGGTACCTGCTTATTGAATGATGAATGGATGAATGAATGAATGAATGAATGAACAAGCGTGGGCCCACGGTGTGCGATGGACTGAGTGTGTTGTCAGACGATCAGGCAAACATGGGGCTGTGGTAGGAGGTCAGACCCTGAAATGCGTAATCTCAGACCTGACCCCAGCTCAATCCAGACGAGTGGTGGGGCAGGGTAGGGAGCCTCGTGGTGTCTACCCTGTCCAGTGTTATTAGGGCTGTTGGACACACATGCTGGATCAGATGTCGCTGAACACGTGTCTGAGAGATGGCTGTTTGTCTGAGAGTGCTGCCTTGTGTAGGTGGCTCCTGTTGCTGTGGATTTACCCCCACACGAACAGCTGTGGGTGATCAGGGAGCAGACAAACAGGCCCTGCTCAGGTCCAGTCTCCACTCATACGCTCTTCTCTCTTCCCCAGACATGCTCCAGCTCATCAACAACCAAGACAGCGACTTCCCTGGCCTGTTTGATCCACCCTATGCTGGGGGTGGGGCAGGGGACACAGAGCCTGCCAGCCCCAGTGCCAGTTCCCCAGGCAGCTTGTCTCCGTCTCCTGCCTCACTGAGCTCCCCTTTGGAAGCCTTCCTGGGGGACCCTAAGGCGGCATCCCCACCTTTGTCCCCTCCCCAGTCTGCACCCACCCCCTTGAACATGTACCCATCTGTGTCCCCCTTCTCCCCTGGTCCTGGTATCAAAGAAGAGCCAGTGCCACTAACCATCCTGCAGCCCCCTACCCCACAACCCCTGTCGGGGACTCTCCTGCCCCAGAGTTTTGCATCCTCAGCCCCCCCACAGTTCAACTCAGCCCCTGTGTTGGGTTACTCCAACCTTCCTGGAAGCTTCTCAGCAGGTAAGAGGGGTGTATGGAGGGAGGGGACATTGGGGACAAGGCTGCTAGGAACACAGGAAGAAGTGTCAGTCGTGGTCCTAGTGGAGGAACTTGCAGGTTCTAGAAGTTGAGTGTCCACTGTGCGGGCTGGGTCGCCCCATTGCTAGCGGCATTTCTCTGTCCTAGGTGCCGGGTGGAGTACCGCCTCCCACCAGAGGCCTGGCTGGCACATTTGCATCAGATCCTAGGCAGGGCCTGTCCCGATAGAAAATATGGGAATATTCCAGATAGAGACCATGACTCATTTGGGGCCATACGATGGCAGAGCTGAAGAGCAGGTTGAAAGTGGGTGAGGGCAGCCTTTGCCCGCAGCCCCAGGCTTTGTCTCTGCAGGGACCCCTCCTGGGAGCACCCAGCAGCCGCTGCCTGGCCTGCCACTGGCTTCCCCGCCAGGGGTCCCACCTGTCTCCTTGCATAGCCAGGTCCAGAGTGCGGCCCCCCAGCAGCTGCTGACAGCCACAGCGGCCCCTGGAACGACCACTGTAACTTCACAGATCCAGCAGGTCCCGGTGAGGGGGTCTGGCCAAGCTGTGGGAAGGTGGTGGCCCTCGGCCCCTACACACAGCTTATGGCCCAGGCCTCTGCCACCCCAGGTCCTGCTGCAGCCCCACTTCATCAAGGCAGACTCCCTGCTCCTGACCACCATGAAGACCGATGTGGGGGCCACTGTGAAGGCTGCGGGTATCAGCTCCCTGGCCCCCGGCACAGCTGTACAGACAGCGCCCTTGCAGGTGGGCAGTCTGGACTGGGCAGAGGCTGCGGGGGGTGGGGTGGGGGGAGCCTGTGCACATGCATGTCCTCCTGGTAACCTGTGTCTGGCCCTGCAGACCCTGGTGAGTGGCGGAACCATCCTGGCCACAGTCCCACTGGTTGTGGACACTGACAAGCTGCCCATCAACCGGTTGGCAGCCGGCAGCAAGGCTGCGGGCTCAGCCCAGAGCCGTGGCGAGAAGCGCACAGCCCACAATGCCATCGAGAAGCGCTACCGCTCTTCCATCAACGACAAGATAGTGGAGCTCAAGGACCTGGTGGTGGGCCCCGAGGCAAAGGTGCGAGCAGAGCCTGCAGAGGTTCAGGCTGGGCAACCAGAACCCTATCTACTCATTCCACTTTACTGAGGGCCTTTGAGATAAAGTGCATGGGAGGGTATGCTCCGCCTGGTTGTGTAGCAGTGAACAAGAGGGACAGAAATCCTACCCAAAGGAACTGACATTCTAATAGGGAGACAGACATTTACCAGAATAGGTAAGTCAGTGTTCGAGGACCCCACATGGTGCCAGGAAAGAAAATAGGGCAGGAAGAAAATGGTAAGAATTGCGAATCTAAATTGGGTGATCAGAGAAGACCTTGGTAAGGTGATACATGAGCAAAGACCTGCGGTATGTGTTTTAGATATTAATCCTTATTTCTGCCTGAGAGGTAGAGGTAGGTGCTATTGGGGAATATTTGCACAGGAACATTTTGGGCAGAAGGAATAAGTGCAGAGGTCCTGAGGCAGCTGTGTGGCAAAGTAACTGTGTGCTCCCTTGCTAGGTGCCCGCAGCCAGACCTGACTAGCCAACTGTTTTCTCTCTCTTGCCCCCTAAAGCTGAATAAGTCTGCTGTCTTGCGCAAGGCCATCGACTACATCCGCTTCTTACAACACAGCAACCAGAAACTCAAGCAGGAGAACCTAAGTCTGCGAACTGCTGCCCACAAGAGCAGTGAGTCCTGGCCTCCCCTCCCCTGCCTCTGGCCACACCCTGCCCAGGCTCTGGCCCTGCCTCCAGTAGGCCGGACATCCCTCAGCCCTGGCCCTACTTTCAGTTAGAACCTGGGCCATACCCCACCCCACCCCACCCTACCCCACCCTAGGGCCCTGTGCTCTGATGAGACATGTTTGGTGTTCACCCCAGCTCTGTTCTTTCTGGCCAGCAGAATCACTAAAGGATCTGGTGTCCACTTGCAGCAGTAAAGGAAACACAGATGTGCCCATGGAGGGTGTGAAGACTGAGCTGGTGGACACACTGACCCCACCACCTTCAGATGCCGGCTCACCCTCCCAGAGCAGCCCCTTGTCCCTTGGCAGCCGGGGTAGTGGCAGTGGTGGCAGCAGCAGTGACTCGGAGCCTGACAGCCCAGTCTTTGAGGACAGCCAGGTTGGGTCCTGCAACACTGCCCCTTGTCCTCTCCCAGGGATCTCTTCTGAGTCCTAGGATTGGATCAGGGAGAGGCCCCTAAAGGAGTTGACCTGCCAGTTCATAGACAGAAAAACAGGCCCAGAGCCCTGCGGGGCCCCGACTCCTCCTGTAGCCCTGTGTTCCCCGGGGGCTGTCCAGCTGCGTCCTCACCTCCTGCCCTCCACCTCCAGGTGAAGCCAGAACAGCTGTCATCTCCCCACAGCCTGGGCATGCTGGACCGCTCCCGCCTGGCCCTGTGCACACTTGTCTTCCTTTGTCTGTCCTGTAACCCCCTGGCCTCCCTGCTGGGTGGCTGGACGCTTCCTGGCCCCTCAGATCCTGTGGGTATCCACCACAGTTCTGGGCGCAGCATGCTGGGCACTGAGGGCAGAGGTAGGACAGGCCAGCCTGGGGATATTTGGGAGGGACTTTTGGGTGGTAGACCCGTGGCTGTGGACTGGGGGCTGTGGATTCCCTGGGAGCCCAGCCCTTCCTTCTGTCCACAGATGGCCCTGACTGGGCCCAGTGGCTGCTGCCCCCTGTGGTCTGGCTGGTCAATGGGCTAGTGGTGCTGGCTTTCTTGGCATTTCTCTTTGTCTGTGGGGAGCCGGTGACACGGCCCCACTCCGCCCCTGCTGTGAACTTCTGGAGACATCGCAAGCAGGCTGACCTGGACCTGGCCCGGGTAAGGGACTAGCCGGGGAGAGAGTGGGCAGGGCAGCATCAGGGCCTGCAGTCCAGGAGGTGCTGAGCAAGCCCCTGGCTCCCTGCTTTCTGTGTGCAGCATGAATCTGCCCCGTTCTTCACTCTTGCTCTCCCCCAGACTTTCACTGACTCCTAGACAGAATGAGACCCTCGGAGGCCACATCATTTCTCACCTGGAAATTCCTTGTTCCCAGGGGGACTTCGCCCAGGCTGCTCAGCAGCTATGGCTGGCCTTGCAGGCGCTGGGCAGGCCCCTGCCCACCTCCCACCTGGACCTGGCCTGCAGCCTGCTCTGGAACCTCATTCGCCACCTGCTGCAGCGACTCTGGGTGGGCCGCTGGCTGGCCGGCCATGCTGGGGGCCTGAGAAGGGACTGTACCCTGAGGGCAGACGCACGCACCAGCGCCCGAGATGCAGCCCTCGTCTACCATAAGCTGCACCAGCTGCACACCATGGGTATGACTGGGCGTGGAGCTGGGCAGAGGGGCGCCACCGTGCTGCCTCACGTGGCCTCCTGGCCTCATGCCCCACCTGCTTTCCAGGGAAGTACACGGGTGGGCACCTGGCTGCCACCAACCTGGCACTGAGTGCTCTGAACCTGGCAGAGTGTGCGGGGGATGCCGTGTCCATGGCAACGCTGGCGGAGATCTATGTGGCAGCTGCCCTGAGGGTCAAGACCAGTCTGCCAAGGGCCCTGCACTTTCTGACAGTGAGTGGGTGGTGGGCTGGTGGGGATGGGGCTGGGGGCTTGTCTTTGCAGCTCTTTCCCGTGGTTCCTGGGCATGGGGCTGCACAGAAGTTGGCAGCTGGTTATGAGGTGGGCTCTAGGCCCAGCTGGGGTCTCAACAGGGGTCTGGGTTTGAGTCCTTGCCTGGCGCCAGTGTGACAGCCCAGCTCCCCTCCCCCACAGCGCTTCTTCCTGAGTAGCGCCCGCCAGGCCTGCCTGGCACACAGTGGCTCAGTGCCTCTTGCCATGCAGTGGCTCTGCCACCCCGTGGGCCACCGTTTCTTCGTGGATGGGGACTGGGCCGTGCGCAGTGCCCCGCGGGAAAGCCTGTACAGCTTGGCCGGGAACCCAGGTGCTCTCTCACCCCTGCCCCTGTCCCTCATCCTGTGCCTTGTCCCCCATTCCTGTCCTTCATTATCCCCTGCATCTCTGGATATCCTCCCCCCAGATTACCCTCCCGTGTGGGTCGTAACTACAGGGCTGTGGGGACTCAAGGCCTGGCTGGTCCTCTGTTCCACTTGAGGCTCTTCAGAAGCAACCTATAGGCCAGAGGGATGACAGTTGATTTGAGGGGCGACCCCGGGCCACCTCGGGCCACCTCATTGTGGAGTGAGGAAGTGAGACAGGGAAGGGGTGGCGCCTTTGAAGCCAGTGTGCAGGGGCTAGGCTGTTTTCCACCTGCCTATGGCAAGGGCTGCTCCTAGGACCAAAGCTGGCACTTGCAATGGGAACGGGATGGTCCCTGCCCATTCAGGAAGAAGGCCTTGGTGGATGTAAAGTGGGGGGTGGGCTCCTCCTCACTCACCCCCTCTTACCCACAGTGGACCCCCTGGCCCAGGTGACACAGCTGTTCCGTGAACATCTCCTGGAGCGTGCACTGAACTCTGTGGCCCAGCCCAGCCCCAACCCCAGCCCCGGGTCAGCTGATGGGGACAGGTAAGTGTCCCTGTGCCTCCAGATACCACCAACATGTAGTCCGGGAACGACCCTGTCTAGGGATCTGTGTGGATTACCAGAGCTGGGACTTTTGTCCACTTGCTGGGTGCCCCCCCGAGCCTGTGTTGGTCTCGTTTTCCCCACCAGCCAGGCAGAATGTGGCCCTTGGTAGAGCCATGGGGTCAGGCTGTCCCCAGGTAGGCATGTAGGACCAGCTCTCCCACAGGACTCCCAGGACCCCTGCCATCTGTTCTAACAGCCAGTCCTCTCCTGCCACAGGGAATTCTCAGATGCCCTTGGATACCTGCAGCTGCTGACCAGTTGTTCTGATGCTGCTGGGGCTCCTGCATGCAGCTTCTCCATCAGCTCTAGCATGGCCGCCACCACCGGTGAGCCTGAGACCCTGAGACCCCTGCCCCGGGCTTCCTGCTCAGCCCAGACACTGTGGCTGAAGGTTCAGGGCACCCCTCCATCCTCTGCAGGCACAGACCCTGTGGCCAAGTGGTGGGGCTCACTGACGGCGGTGGTGATTCACTGGCTGCGGCGGGATGAGGAGGCAGCTGAGCGGCTCTACCCCTTGGTGGAGCACCTGCCCCGTGCCCTGCAGGAGACGGAGTATGTGCCCGGCCAGATTCTCCCTGCCCTGCCCCCACTCCCACCCTCCCGGCCCCTCAGCACTGTACTTGCACCCGCCTTTGCTCTGTGTGGTCAGGGTCACCGTGCTTTCTTTCCCCAAAGTCCAGAATCAGGGCAGATGGGTGGGCATTCACTGACTGGCACTCTTCTGCTGTGGCCCCCACAGGAAACCCCTGCCCAAGGCGGCCCTGCACTCCTTCAAGGCTGCCCGGGCTGTGTTGGGTCGTGGAAAGGCAGAGTCTGGCCCAGCCAGCCTGGCCATCTGTGAGAAAGCCAGCGGGTACCTGAGGGACAGCCTGGCCACCACACCAACTGGCAGCTCCATTGACAAGGTGAGGGGTAGGCTGGAGGCCTGCCGGTCTGGGTCACTGCCTTCTCCTCCCTAGTCATTTGGGGTTCGCCCAAGGAGCTCAGGACTGGGGGCCTTGGAGACTTTGCTTTGGGCTACAGTTTAAGTCCAGGGAAGAGTGACTCTCCCTGTCTGGGCTGAATCCTCATGCCCAGGAGGGGTGTGGGCAGCCTGGCCGGGCTCCCTGGAGGGCTGCTCCTGGGGTGGATGGTGACCTGGGGGCCTGGAGAGGCCGCTGGCCTGTGTGCATTGCTGCTGCATTGCTGCTGCATTGCACGCGTGTGGCGGGTGCAGTGCCTCAGCAGTGCAGCCCGGAGCCGGCAGCCTCCCTCCCAGAGCTGGAGGGGCCTCATGACCCTGCCTGCCCTACCTGCCACCCCCAGGCCATGCAGCTGCTCCTGTGTGACCTGCTCCTCGTGGTCCGCACTAGCCTGTGGAGGCAGCAGCAGCCCCCAACGTCAGCACAGGTGGCTCAGGGTGCCAGCAGCGGCCCCCAGGCCTCTGCCCTCGAGCTACGTGGCTTCCAACGGGACCTGAGCGGCCTGAGGTGTCTGGCACAGAGCTTCCGTCCTGCCATGAGGAGGGTGAGTCCTGTGGGCCCCCCACCTCACAGTGAGGACCTGAAGCAACAGTTGCCTGGAGGGAGAGAGCAGGGACGGAACTTCATCTCTGCTGCCCCTCCCAGGTGTTCTTACACGAGGCCACAGCCCGGCTGATGGCAGGGGCCAGCCCTACCCGGACACACCAACTCTTGGACCGCAGTCTGAGGCGGCGGGCAGGTCCTGGTGGCAAAGGTGAGGGTGGCTGACCTTACAGAGATGTGGGGGCTCTGGCTCAGCATGCAGCCTTCTCCACTATCCCTTTCCTCGCCCAGGTGGGAGGGCTCAGATGGGTGTGCCGGATACTGGGGATGACTGCACATGGGCGGGCGTGAGAGTGTGTGTGTGTGTGGGGGGGGGGCGTGGAGCTAGGAACTGAAATCCACTGGAGGTGACACCATTTGCAGAATACAATGCATTTGTGACTTTGAGTCTGTGTTCTACTGGGAAAGTCGTCAGGGGCTCCATATCTGAGCCTCTGACGGTGGGCACAGGAGAACCTGCGTGACTTGTGGGGCTGGTCTTCGGCCTCCCCGCCCACAGGCTGGAATGGTAAGATAGCCCCGCCCCTGATGCAGCCCTGTGTGCGCAGGCGCGGCGGGGGAGCTGGAGCCGCGGCCCACGCGGCGGGAGCACGCAGAAGCTCTGCTACTGGCCTCCTGCTACCTGCCGCCTGGCTTCCTGTCGGGGCCGGGGCAGCGCGTGGGCATGCTGACCGAGGCGGCTCGCACGCTTGAGAAGCTGGGCGATCACCGGCTTCTGCACGACTGCCAGCAGATGCTCATGCGCCTGGGTGGTGGGACTACAGTTACCTCCAGCTAGACCTCCGGCGTCGTCCAGTCTCAGTGTCCCGGTCTCCACGGCTCACCCGCGGCCGCTCCGTCCCTGAGGGGTGGGAGGCGGGAGGCGCAACCCACCACCCCAGCCCGCTCCTCAACTTGACAAGCGGCCGTCAGGATGGTGCTGACCTCTGGTGGCCGATCGGGGAATTACAGGAGCCGAATCGGCCGTGTTCCCCCCACCGCCCTTGCTCTGCAGGCACCTTAGTGGCTTTTTCCTCGCTTTTCTAGGGGGAGGAGGGGGTACCTTTCTTTGAGCTGAGGGGGCCCTTCCCCAAGGTACCTCTTTCCCTTCTGGGGGAAGACTTGTACATAGTGTAGATGGGTGGGCCCCCGTGGGCCAGCCTCCTTGCCTCGGAGGCTCATGTGCTACTTTTGCAAACTTTATTTTCGTAGGTTGAGAAGTTTTGTACAGAGAATAAAAAATGACGTTATTTATAACCTTGGTTTTGTTCCTTTGGGGATGAATATGTGTGCTGGACATGCTGACCACACACCTTAGGGCCTTTTTCTTCAGCACCAATGCCAAGGCCTCCCATCCTCCAGCCCCCATAGGACAGTATTTACCCCCTTCTGACCTAATGACCCCTAGCTGACCTATCCCCTCGGGCCAAATGTTCGTCTGTATTCGGTTAGGGCCTTGATGGTTTCAAGTTGTCCCTGAAATTCCTGGCCCCAACTAGGTCTGGGGTGACTTGGAAACCAAGACAGTTTCCTCCAGGGCCTGTTTGATAGGAGCTATAACTTGGGTCTCCCAAGTTACAGCTGGCAGGGATTGGCCCAAGCCTTCTGGAGTGTCTCAGCTCCCTCACCTCCTCCTGCCTGTCCTGGGAGAAACCCTGGATCAGTTAGAATCTGAGGTCACATAGGCAGGTGAGACCATCTGAGGGTGTCTCCTGTTCTCCAGAAATGGGCTGGATCCATGATCACCCCCCACCTAAAGTCTGGTCCCCAATCCCAGCAGAATCTGGTCAGAATCCATGGGCTGCAGACTTCCAAAACAATCTTGTATCTTTATTGACTTTTTTTTTTTTTCTGAATGCAATGACTGTTTTTTTACTCTTAAGGAAAATAAACATCTTTTAGAAACAGCTCGATACACACAATCTTCAGTGTGAAGCAATATACTAATAAGAACACTAGTCGTCTTAACATTTACAGTCTTCATATATATTATATATATGTATATGTATACATATATATACACTATATAACGAGGCCAGATATAATACACACGTTTACCATTTTACAGTCATATGTACAGGAAGTTGCTAGGGCCGCCCCTGGCTGGGGCTGCGTCAGGCCTATTGAAGCGTGGACAGAGCTGAGGTGAGGACACAGACAGACAGGCGGACGGACTGGCAGGGACTGGCCCAAGCCGGTGGTGGCTGCGTGGGGAAGGGGCATCGCGGTAGACTCCCCTACTCGGCAAGGGCCCGGCTGGGGCTCTGCTGTAGGGCGCACGACGCACGGCGGCGACACACAGGAGAAGCGAGCATGTTCCCAACATATATACATTCTATGTAACATATATATAGAGGGGTACACAGGTTTTGTACACGAATCTAGCGCTGTCCCTGCTCCCGTACTGAGTGGGCGCTGTGGTCCCTGAAGACGGTGGTGGTGCACAGGGACAATCGCGCATCCGCCGGAGGTACGCTCATGCTCGGATCGGATCTCCTTTCTTGCTGCGTTCCTAGGCTGGGCTCCAAGGGTGGGGTGGAGGATTGGAAAGGGGACGAACAGAAGATGCCCCAGTCCCGCCCACACCCGGGGAGCCCACATCCCCTGAGCACAGGCCCCCGATTACCCCGGCTTGGCCGGAACCGCAGGGAAGCTTTGGCAAAGGGTGGGTGGGAAGGGGCGCTGGGACGCATTCCGACTGGTGGGTTTCGAAGCCTCTTGCCCCCTCCCCCGCTGGCCGGGCCCCCTCCAGAAAGGCTCCGGTTTCCCCTGCCTCGTCCATGGAGCTAGGAGCCGCCCTCGGCCCCTGGCAGGGTCGTCTGGATCTCCTCTCCCGAACCCAGGGCGCCCAGCTGCAGGCCACGACCGACCGACTGCGGTGACGGCAGCACCCACGAGGAATGTGTGCCACGTCGTCTTGGAACTTCCGGGAGGGGGAAGTGTCCCCAGCCCAAAGCCGTCTCCCACCCCCGCCAGAGGCTGGGTGGGCCGAGAAGTCTGGCCGCTCCGCGGGCTCCCTCTCCAAGCCTGGCCCCAGGGGTGTGGGCAAAAAAAAAAATACCGCCCTGTGCCGTCCGGTTCCGGGAGCAGGCGGCTCCGGAACAGGTTTTCTTCCCAACCCGGGGCCGCACGTCGGCGCCCTGGGCGGCCGGATCCAAGATCCGGGACGCGGATCAGGGATCGGCTCTGGACGCGCGCTGGGAGCAGCTCCAAGGCCCCAGGGCTGCGCAGGCTGCTTCTCTCCTTCGGAGGCGGGCGTCGGGCGGCTCCGGCGGCTTCTCCAGCCGTTGCTGTGGATTACAACGGCAGCCTCTGCAAAAGAAGAGCAGACGCCCGCCGTCCATTACTGAGGGCCGGGGAGAGGAGGAAGGGGCCGATTCCTTCCAAGCCGCAGGCCCCGCCGTCCGTGGGACTCCGCCCGCGTGCCGGGTGGGCGCCCCTAGGGTCTCTTTCGGTGTCAGGCAGCGGGAGTCCCCCCTCTGGCTTTTCCTTTCGTCTGACCACCTTCACCTGAGTGCCCTCCGTCCAGTCCCGTGGCCATACCGGCCCTCTCTTTGCCCCCTATCTTGAAAGGGCTTTAGGGCAGGTCCCCTAGGAATGTCCCTGGCGGGCCCCTCCCTGGGGACCTGCCTGGTGGACAAAGCGGGCTTTCGGAGTAGCCTATGCAGATCTGCCTCAAGGCTCCCAGGGGACGCTGGCCACAGGTGAGGGGAAGCTAAACTGGGTCCTGGCTGGACTTGGTGGGGGCTAGGTCTCCTGAGGGTCTGCAGGTCAGGGCAGGGGCTGGTAAAGGCCATCATTGATGGAGTGGGGGCTCCTTGTGGTCACCTACCTTATGTTTGGGACATTTCAAAGAAAAGTTCTCTTCGATGAATACACAACCTGTAACCAAAGAGAAGTTTCGGTGGTTAGACAGGGTGGGGTCTGCCAGGCCCCAGCTTGCAAGAGCTCTTTTCAAAGAGTGACCTAAGTCCTGCTTAAATCCTCCATAATCACAGTTCCACCACAGAACAGGCTGGGGGGGGGGGCTCTGCTCCTTCCTGCTTTGTTCTTTGTCCTCACCTCACCTCCTCCACCTGGAACTCTTTCCCCCCCATCCTGTTTCCGCGTGGCTGGCTCCTTGACTAAAGCAGAACCTGCCCTCCACAGTCCCCTGAGATGTGTGCCCAGCCCCTAGAAGAGCCCAGGAAAGACTCAATCACTGATGGCTTCGGTGGTCACCTACAGCATGTCCGTCGTGGGGATTGATGAAGAGAGCATGTATCAATACCCGCCCCCACACACACACATGGCACACTGTAGGTGCTCAAAATGCAGGGGCTGGTTCCCGTGGGAACAAGGGAAGATGAGAACGAGGTGCACATAGGATCCTGGTGAACACTGCAGCCACAGACGAGCCAGGGGACAGCAGAGTTTGGCCAGTCCTTATGCCCAGCTCTGCCAGACTGTGCCCGTATCTCCACGAGTCCTCCGCTCCCTGCCTGCTGCCATCTATGGACACCCTGGCTCTTCCCTGTGCACCCCCACCCGTCACCCCCAAGTCCTGAGCTCATCTCTCCTCTCTCAGCCTCACTGACCACAGGGTCACCCTGCCCTAGCACCATCTTCCAGTTCACACTGGAGGGTGGCATCATCACAGGGTGGGGACCAGGAGGCAGGGCAGGAAGGGGACAGATCTGCAGCTCCAAAGCAGAACTGTAGGCCTTTCAAAGGCGTCTCCCCTTCCTTTCCCTGACCAACCCCTGCCAGAAGCTACGGGGCCCCCCCACCTTTGAACCCCTGTGAGATTCCATGGTCTAGAGCCACAGCTGGGGCGACTCAGCAACTTTCCTTTTCTGGTTCTGGGACAAAGTGAGACATTCCATAGAGCATGGGCTAGAAGTCCAGGCTCGCCTGCTGCCCACGTGGCAGCCCTCTGGGTCAGCTCTGGGCACGTGGGCCAAGTGCCTGGGTCACCAGAAGCCAAGGGTAGGAGGCCACTTCTAAATCGGGGTTCTCAGCGACCCCAGCATCTCCCATGCCCGGTGTGGGAGGGAGTGGTTGGGAAGGGCCAGGTATCGACATCGTGTCCCTCGCCTGGTGTCTTGGATCTGGAAGACCAGGTGGACCTGGGGCTGACTGAGAGTTGGTGGGTTTGGACAGGACACCATGGTGCAGTGGCCTCTGCCTGCTCTTGGAGTCAATGCGGGTCTCCAGAGAGAGGATCCTTAATAAGGACGGGAAGGGGGCAGGGTTAGTGGGCCAGGGCAGGAAGGCGGGGTGGCAGCTAGCACTCTGCAGTCTGAGAGCCAGACTGGAGAGCCCCTGCTGACCCCCTGGGGGTAGATTGCTCTTCTCAATCTGCTGCTGCCTGGTCACCACCGACAGCCCTCCCTGCTTCTTGGAGTTCAGTCCTCCCTCACCTTTTCTGGCTGCTGAGCCAGCAGTCCCCTCCCCCTCTGCCAGGTCTTTGTAGGTGGCATCTCCCCACACACTGTCCCCTACCTGCTGTGGAGTCTCCATCCTGAGCCCAGCTGAGATAGCTCCCTTTGCATGTCTACAGACAGCTCAAAAGTGACCTGTCCGAAGCAGAACTGCTCTGTATGGCTGCCAACACGGCCCTGATCCTCCTCTCTGTACCCAGGTCCTTTGCAGCCCGTGCCATGGAGATGTGGCATGCCTGTCCTCACCCTCAGAATCTGGGTGGCACCTAGATTGCTTTGGCCAACAGTATACACTGAAGCCCAGAGCCCAGGCTGGGAGAGGCTGTGTGACCTCCAACCTTCCAGGCCCCTGCTGTGCTGGAGGACAAGACCACGTGCATCACGTGGAGCATCCTGCCCCAGCAGAGCCTGCCAGGGTGAGGACCTACGTAGCAGTCATTGATACCTTCTCTCTCATGCTCATCCTGCTCAGACTGGTTCTCCCTCCCCATGGGGAAGCTGGACATCAGGCCGACACCTCCCTCTCCCTCATCTCTCCCATCAAGTCCTGTGGCTTCTGTGCCAACATAGCCTCTGAGCTAGACAGCTCTACTGTACCAGGCCACCCTCTCCTGCTTGGACTGTTGCAGTAGTTCATCAGCCAGCCCCAATCATCCTTTTTTCCCCAGACACTTCCCCGTCTCATTCTCTGTAGAGATTCCTGTCATTTGGGGGTTTCTAAGATTTCCTTTGAAACACACGTTCTCTTGCTCAAAGCCTGGTATGCGGAGTCCTCCAGCTAACCAGCGACAGCCCACCTTTTCTGATGTTTTGAGGCCTGGCTCAAATATCACT